TTACTTTGGTGAAAAAGAAGATCAAAATATACAACCAGAAGAAGACAACAAAGCTCCTACATCCAAAGCCTCCAAGAAAAATATGAAATCAGTCCCAGGCCTTGGAAGAGCTCCAAAGGGATTTTGAAAAGCAAGTAAGAGAAGTAGAGGAAAAACTGGGAAGAGAAATGAGAGGGATGCAAGAAAATAATGAAAAACAAATTAACAGCTTGCTAGAGGAGACCCAAAAAAATAACACCTCAAAAAATAGCCTAACCCAAATGGCAAAAGAGGTCCAAAAAGCCAAAGAGGAGAAGAATGCCCTAAAAAGAAAAACTGGCCAAATGGAAAAGGAAGTCCAAAAGATTACTGAAGAAAATATTTCCTTAAAAATTAGAGCAGTGACTTTATGAGAAATCAAGACACTATAAAACAAATCCAAAAGAATAAAAAATTAGAAAACAATGTGAAATATCTCACTGGAAAAACAACTGACCTGGAAAATAGATCCAGGAGAGAGAATTTAAAAATTATTGGACTATCTGAAAGCCATGATGAAAAAGAGAGCCCAGACGTCATCTTTCAAGAAATTGTCAAGGAAAACTGCCACGATATATTAGAACCAGAGGGCAAAATAGAAATTGAAAGAATCCACAGATCTCCTCCTGAAAGACATCCCCAAAGGAAAACTCCTAGGAATATTATAGCCAAATTCTAGAGTTCCCAGGTCAAGGAGAAAATATTACAAGCTGCCAGAAGGAAACAATTCAAGTACTGTGGAAACACAATCAGGATAACACAAGATTTAGCAGCTTCTACATTAAAGGACCGCAGGGCATGGAATATAATATTCCGGAGGGCAAAGGAGATAGGATTACAATCAAGAATGTCCTACCCAAAGGAGGCAGCTAGGTGGTGCAGTGGATAGAGCACCGGCCCTGAAGTCAGGAGTACCTGAGTTCAAATCCGGCCTCAGACCAAACACTTGACACTTACTAGCTGTATGACCCTGGGCAAGTCACTTAACCCCAATTGCCTCAAATTTAAAAAAAATTAAAAAAAAAAAAAGAATGTCCTACCCAACAAAACTGAGTATAATCCTTCAGGGGGAAAAATGTTCATTCAGTGAAAGAGGACCTTTAAGCAGTCCTGATGTAAAGACCAGAGCTTAATAGAAAATCTGACTTTCAAATACAAGACTCAAGTGGAACATGAAGAGGTAAACAGGAAAGAGAAATCTTAAAAGACTTATTAAGATTGAACTGTTTATATTCCTACATGGAAAGATAATATTTATAACTCATGAGACCTTTGTCAGTATTAGGGTACTTGGAGAAAAAAATTATATGTATGTGTATATATAGATAGATAGCTAGAGGGCACAGGGTGAATTGAAGATTAAGGCGTCTTATCTGGAGAATAAAATTAAGGGATGAGGGAGGATTATACTATGAGAAAAAGAAAGGTAGAGGTAGAATGGGACAAATTATCTCACAAAAAAAAAGAAAAGAAAAGGCTCTTACAGTGGAGGGGAAACAGAGGAAGGTATGGGGGAAGGTAAGAGGGAATGAGTGAATCTTATTCTCATAGGATTTGGATTAAGGAGGGAATAACATACACATTCAATTAGGTAAGGAAATCTGTCTTACCCTACAGGAAAATAGGGGGAGAAGGGGACAAGAGAGCAGGGGGATGATAGAGAGGAGGGCAGATTGGGAAAGGGTGTAATCAGAAGCAAATACTTCTGAGGAGGGGCAGGGTCAAAAGAAAGAACAGAATAAATGGGGGGACAGGATAGGATTAAGGGAAATAGAGTTAGTTTTTCACAACATGTCTACTATGGACGTGTTTTGCATAACTGCACATGTACAATCTATATGGAGTTGCTTGCCTTTTCAATGAGGGTGGGTGGGGAGGGAGGAACAGAGAAAATTTGAAACCTAAAGTTTTAAAAACATATGTTTAAAAAAAATGTTTTCACATGCTACTGGGAAATAAGAAATACAGGAAATGGGGTACAGAAGTCTATCCTGCCCTACAGGAAAATAAAAAGGGAAGGGGATAAGAGAAGGTGGGGGGAAGAGATAGAAGAGAGGACAGACTAGGGGAAGGGAGATTCAGAATGCATGCCATCTTGTGGTGGGGGAGGGGGTGAGATGGGGTGAAAATTTGTAACTGAAAAACTTGTGGAAGTGAATGCTGAAAACTAAAAATAAATAAATTTATATTAAAAAAAAAAAGAAAAAAAGAACACAAACTGAACCCAAGGCTTCCTGACTCCAGAATTTGCTTTCATCTCCTGCAGACACACTACCTCTTAGAATTTTATATATATATATATATATATATATATATATATACACACACACACACACACACACACACACACACACACACACACAAGCTTACAAACACATGGATTAATTAAAGCAAGGTACAAACTTTATATAAAACTTGTTATATATCACTTTCCTTAAATATGTATCTGTTTACACTTGTGGTCAAATTGCATTCTGCCACTGTCTCATGCACCACTCTCATGTGCCATAACATGGAAAGACTAGAAAGGAACTCACTCCATAGAACTGATTCTTTTTTATTCACATTATGTGGATAAGCAATGACATCCCTTCTACCCAGGATTCTGTGATAAGCAAATATCAGACACTACTACAATTCATATTCATGACTAGAGTTGTCAGTAATGCCAACTAACACAAGAAACATTTGTCTTCTATTAGTCTCTATTTAATGACAGCTACACAAATCTGTTTTCTCAAAGCTCAAAGTTAGGAAAATTTCCTCACTATTTTCCATAAGAATTTTGCCCAGCTAATTTTACTGACCAGAAATTTGTGTAACAAACAATGGGTGAGTACTGGCCCCATATTTCTTATAAGAATAGATCTGACTGATTCTTCAATCAGGTGGAATTAATCAACTGTATTTTTCTAAGGTAGCAGATGTTCTTCAAATATATAGCCATCCCTCCTCATTTCATGCTATGGAAATATATACAAAATTTAATCAACTAGCATTTATTAAATAAGTACTATTGTGCCAGGCATTGTGCAAGGAACTAGAGATACAAAGGCAAAAACTAAACTGTGCCTTGTTCTCAAGGCATTCATATTCTATACAAGGAAAACAACATGTATACATCAATCAGCACGGATTTAAATGCCTACTATATAACACACACTGTGCTAGGGACCAGGGATATAAAGGTACAAAGAACAAAACATTCCCTACTTATAATCAGCTTCCATTCTAATGGAGAAGACAAGTACATGTAAAATACATACAACACAAATATGAAGTTAAGAAACACATATGTGGATAAATACAAGGTAGTTTAGGTAGCTAGATGGTGCAGTGGATAGAATACCAGACCTGGAGTGAGGAAGACTCATCTTCCTGAATTCAAATCCAGCCTTAGACACTCACTGGCGGTGTGACTCTGGACAAGTCACTTAACCCTATATACTTTATTTTTTCATCTATAAAATGAGCTAGTGAAGAAAATGGCAAACTACTCCAGTATCTCTGCCAAGAAAATCCCAAATAGGGGTACAAAGAGTCAGAGAGAACTTAAACAAGTGAACAATAACACAAAGCAGTTTGGGTGGGAAGGCATTTGAGAGAATTAGGAAAGGCAACTTCATGCAAAAGACAGCACCTGAACTGCATCCTCAAGGAAGAAAGGGATTCTACAAGGTGCAGGTGATGAGATGTGCACTCCAGACATTAGGAACAGCCAGTGCAAAGGAACAGAGACCAGAGATAAGAGATGGGAGTGCCATGAGTGAGAAACCAAGAGAAGACCAGTTTTTCTGGATTGCAGAGGAAGGGAAAGGAGAATATCCAATGTGGCTGGAAAAATAGGTTAAGGCCAAGAAGTGTAGGGTTTTAAAAGCTAAAGAAAGGGGTTGATGTTTCATTCTAAAATCAATAGGAAGCTACTGGAGTTTTTGAACAGGGGAATAACATGGTCAAATCAGCCCTTAAGGAAAATTACTACCAGCAGTACATAGAATGGACAGAGCGGTGAGAGGCTTGAGGCAAAGAGACAAATTAAGATGTTGTTGCAACAATCAAGGGCCTGAAGTAAGATGGTAGTTACATGAGCTGAGATAAGGGTCACATAGAAGAGATGCTGTAAAGGTAGAAACGACAAGAGTCATCATTCCTTTTGGATATTTTGGAATTTTTCCATACTCAGTTGGATATGAAACATCCAAGAGTAAAGATCCGAAATCACAAACTTCAAATTCTGGAAGTGTGATGATGTCTTCAAAAGAAATAGGTTTGGAAGAGAATGAAGGTCTGAAAAAAAGAGAGAAAGTAAAAATAAAATATATAGTACCTGTATAGATGGAGAAAAGTCCTCAATTAAGGACCAAACTAAAAGAGGTGAATAAAAGACTAAATTAGGCACAGCCTAATACCACAAGGTATTAATAAGATAAGACTATTCCTATGGGCAACATGTCTAAACTATTTTTGTTAGCTCTCGGTAATACTGGCTGTTGGGTTAACACTGCACATATACCTTAATATCTGAAACCAAAAACTGAGAAATTCTCGATTATTAAGATTTCCTATTCTGTTAATGCATGAAATGGGCTCCCACCTTAGTAATAATACTTCACTCTTAGAAAGCTCCTTCCTGGGGCAGCTAGATGGTACAGTAGATAGAGCAGTGGCCTTTGAGCCACGAGGACCTGAGTTCAAATCCCAACCTCAGACGTTTGATACTTACTAATTGTGTGACCCTGGGCAAGTCACATAATCCCGACTGCCTCAGGAAAAAAAAAAAGAAAAGAAGGGAAAAAAAAAAGAAAGCCTCTTCCTAAATATCTCAAGATGCTTTACAATTCTGATCTTTTTCATCACATAACAATGTTTTTCAGTATTAAGCAAATGTCTACTCCTTATTCTAGAGTTGGAACACTAAGGCCCAGGAATAATCTATAGAAGATAAGCTGTCAAAACCATATCCTGGAATCAAGATCTCCTACCTGTAAGCCAATTCATGGTGAAGTCTTGAAATTCTTAAGCATTTTTCATTCCCGATCTGTCCATGTTCTGCAAGAAAATGACCACTTTATAGTGTAAACTTGCCCCAAAACTGCATTTACATACGTATTAAAGTGCCCCAAACCCTACAACTATCATTAAACAAAGGGCACAAAAAAGCAAAGTATTTCAATGACTTTTAATTACACAACTGGCCAAACACTACAGCAATTCCCACTGACGTGTACTGATTATAAAAGGACAGAGAAAAGAAGAGAAAGCAAAGCAATCTCTTTTATCTCACACAGAAACACAGACCTCTTGGGGAAGGGAAATTTTTTGAAATTGTCATCTTCCACTACTATGGCAACTCCACTCTGACGTTTCTGTATCAGAGGCTTGCTTAAACTAAACACGAAATTGATTCCTGACCCAGAAAAAAGCAGACAGCAGAAGAACAAAAATTAACCTTTCATGCTTGATGAACGTCAGATGCCAAGAACCTGGCACAATTCAATCCAACTAGGACCTGTGAGACAAAAGCTGAAATGAAAAGACACTTACCTCGAGGAGTTTATGTTCTAAAGTGTCTCATACAGGTACACAGATAAGTAAATGCAACATGATTTGAGAAGAAACAGCAAAATCAAAACTGGAGAAATCAAAGAAAGACTTCCAAATACAGGAGGTACTCAGCTGAGGCTGGAAGGCAGGGGGTAGAGGAGGGTGGGAGAGCTTTTTAGTCACAGGGAACAGTCTGGCAAAAGCCAAGAGCCAAAATGTCAGGTTCAGGATAATCAGTAGGGCAGATTGGCTGGAATACAGTAAGGAAGGAAAAGTGAGCAATATGAAACAAAATCTACAAAGGTAAATTGGGAGCAGATTGCAGAACACTTTCATAAAAGCAACAGGGTACTACTGAATTTCTTTCTTCAGCATTTCTGTAAAGAAGGTGTTTGTAAGACATCTCCCTACACTCATGCATCAGCCTTCAGGGCAACAGGATGGTATTCGGAAAAGTATTATTCCAACAAGGTATTTTAAAAGGCAGGTTTGGGGGGGGGGGGCTAAGGAATAAGAGGATGGAAGAAGCAAGTAGTGGGGATCAAAAGACAGGAGCCAACTTGGAACAGCATGGAATAGATCTGGTGTCAGGAAGACTCAGTTCAAAATCTGCCTTAGTTGTGTGACTCTTGGCAAGTCATTGAACTTCTTTTCTAGCCTCACTTTCCTGATCTATAAAATGGGGACAATAATACCAACCTACTTCACAGGGCTGTTGGTGAGGATCAAATGACACAGTTTTGCACACCTTAATTCCTATATAAATGCTAGCTTCTATTGCCACCACTGCCGCCACCACCACCACCATCATCTATGACATAATGGCTGGACCTTGATGATTCCTGAGCCTGGGGAAAAGAGCCTTCAGTGTTCCTTAAGGTTTGTGGTGAGACTCAAAGGAGTCTCACATATACAAAGAACTTTGGAAATTTAAAAATCGAATATATACAAGCAAGCTATTTTTATGAGCCATCAGAATAGGGCTATAATGCAGTCTCGGAAGTAAAGTAACTCAAGATCAAATTAAATAACAACAGCATCAAAATTCAAAAGTGAAAAATTAATGTTTTAGAGTAGAGATAAATGTGTTTATATACCCACATGAGGTATATATGTATATAGAGAGATAGCATTTTTATAGAATAGACAAGAAACTCAGGCTTTTAAATCTTACATTATTTTTACATATGTTAAGAGACTGTGGAGGCATCTTAGGAACCTCATACGGGTTTTGCATAAATTATTCAAATCATAAATGTAACATCTTCCATAAATGGTTTTTTTTAACTTAAAAGGTATAAAATACACAAGCCACTCTTTATTTTGATTATATATGAATTCTAAACTAATGGGTAGAGTTTCATCTTCATACAACAATCTCAAACAAATCATTCCCATTAAGATGAGACTGCTTTCCAAATGAGGATTCTTGCTCAGCATTCATTCATTTTCCAAGACTGACAAAAATCAAGCTTTCAACCCTAGTGAAAACCAGTTCAAAGAAATACTTTAAATAACAATAGCTTAAAAATGACTAGTCATCCCACAAAAAATATGAGACTCATTTGAACAGCCAGTGGAAGAGGAAGAGTTAAGGTAGTCAAATGTTCCCTTTATAACCGTGCACACTGAAAGCCCTACAAATTTAAATAATGGAGATAACTATAACCCCAGGGATCACCTGAAGATACAGTGAAGCAGAGGTTTTTCACTTTTTTTTTTTTTTTTTGCATTATGGCATCCTTTGTCTGGTGAAGGCTATGGACCAAAGGAAATTAATTATATTGAAATACAGTTTTCAAAATATTTTTAAAAGCAGGTTCATGGACCACAGGTCAAAAAGATTCCACACTATAATGGAATGACCACTGGACTTGAAATCAAAAGATTTTGAAGACTGAAATCTGCTATTTAATAAACGAATGATCTTTTAAGCAAGTTATTTAACCTCTTTGAGACTCAGTTTTCTCCTTTACATCATGATGATAATAATACTTGCAAAATTTACCTCATTTGGTTGCTGCAAAGAAATTGCTTTATGAAGTATTTACTAACTGTGTGACCTAAAGCAAGTTAAGTCATTTAATATCCTGAGGGCTGCTTTCTCATCTTAAAGCATTAATGTTAACTATTATTCTTATTCATAATGTCTAAATTTCAGCCAAAACCCAAATAAAATGGCAGCCAAAATTATGCCTTTGCTAAATGAAAATAATATCATTTTTAGTAACAGCAGAAATAAACATCAAGCATTTATTACATGCTGACTGTGTGCCAGGCACTGTACAAAGGGCTGAGAATACATATACAAACAAAAACAAGACATCTGTTCCCTACCCTCAAGAAGCTCACATCCAATGAGGAAGGACAATACACTAAAAAAGGAACTGAAAAGGAAATTCCCTATCAAGGTCCAGAAGAACTCTGCGGAGTCAAGGTTTGAATCAGATTTTGCAGTAAGCACTGTAGGTCTCAGAGCTTCCACTAATGAAGATACTAACTGCAGCTACAAGAGATACAGAAAAGACCAGGGAGTCATGCGAGGAACCTGCTTTACAGTAAACACTGCATCAATCAGTAAACATTTATTAAGCACCTACTATCTGTCACACACAGGTTTACAAACCACTTCACATACAACTAGTTAATGAGGTAAGTGCTACAGGTATGAGGCTCATTGTGAGACTAAATGACATGATCATACTCTGCTTGTAAGGGATAGAGGTGGGATTCAAACCCAGATGCTTCCAGATTCCAAGTCCAATGCTCTTTCTATCATACCACTCTGTCTCTAATATACTAGTCTCCACAGTGGAAAAAAAAATTTGTTCTATTCACTAAAAGTGTTGTTATGAAATTAAATTAGAGCATTAAAATATAGTAAGCAGTTACCCCACTCCTCCAAAAATGCTTATTTTTTGAAATGTAGAGGGTGCAGCCAAGATGGCAGAGGCAGATGCCTATAGGCAGACACTCACCTGAGCTCTCCCCCAAACCCCTCCAAACAGCATTAAAAACTGACTCTGAACAAATTTTAAAGCAGCAGAACCCACAAAAAGAGTGAAATAAATTTCCAGCCCAAGACAACTTGGAAGGTCAACAAGAAAGGTCTGTTGTGCACCTGGCCTGAGAGAGAGAGTCCAGTGCGGTCCGCACCAGCACAGACCAGGCCCAACAAACCCAGAGCATGGCTCAGGGGACTAAACCATTGGCAACAGTGGCAGTTTCCAGATTTCTCAGCCCACAAACACCAAAGACAACTTATAAGGTGAATAGGAAAGGTCTGTCCGACCTGGGTAAGAGAGAGAAACAGTCCAGTCCCAGGCCCAGCTCCAGCAAAGCAAGAACAGGCCTTGGGAATCAGCAGCAGCGGCTCTGGAGCTCTCAGGCCAAAGATGGTAAGGGGATCAAACAACTGGTCAGAAGGAGATTACATGGGTCTCTTTGCTAGCACTAAGGCAAGACTCTGCTGCTTTGCCCCTACCTGGATCTGGGTCACAGTACTGGGTGGCAGTCCTGGAGCAAGGAGGAGCACTGGCATAGCAGAGTTTCTGGCAACATTGGAGAGGAGACCCTCTTCACAGTTCCAGGGGGAAAAAAGAGTGCTTGTGGTCACTCGCTGACCACAGTGAGAGCACAGGCCAGGAGAGGACATCTCTCCTTAGATCATACCACCCTGGAAGACCTAAAAACTTGCAGGTCCCTAGAAATAGCTCTGAAAGCTGCTACACAAAACCCCTGAAGCTTGGAACAGTTTGCCCTCCACAATGGAAGCAGAGCCCTACTTTAACAAATAGTCAAAAATCAAGTAATAGGCTGGGAACATGAGCAAACAAAAGAAAAAACTACAGAAACTTACTCTGGTGACAAGGAAGATCAAATCATACATTTAGAAGAAGATAATAAAATCAAAGCTCCTACATCCAAAGCCTCCAAGAAAAATATGAATTGGTCTCAGGCATTGGAAGAGCTCAAAAAGGATTCCGAAAATCAAGTAAGGGCAGAGCCAAGATGGCGGAGTGAAAGCAATGACTTGCTTGAGCTCTCCCCCAAACCCCTCCAAATACTCATAAAAAATGTCTCTAAACAAATTCTAGAGCAGCAGAACCCACAAAAAGACAGAGTGAAGCAAATTTCCAGCCCAAGACAACCTGGATGATTGATCAGAAAGGTATATCGCAACGAGCTGGAAGAGAAGCGCAGTGTGGTGTGGGTGCACAGGCCACAGAAAACCTGGAGCAGGCTCAGAGGACTGAATCATAGGCAGCTGTAGAGGTTTCCAGACTTCTCAACTCATGAACACCAAAGACAACTGAGGTCAGTGTGGAAAAGTCTGTTTCTGCAGTGCTGAGAGTGGAGCGCAGGGTCTCAACTCTAGTTCCCCAAGAGTCCGGAGCGCAGGCCCCAGAGGCGGCAGCTGCCACGTGAGCTTCCGGCCCACAGACTGAAGGGGAATCAAGTGGCTGATCAGAGGGGGATTGCAGGGATCTCTTTGCCAGTGCTGAGGCAGG